GATCTCTTTGAGCCTTTCCCACATTCTAGTCCACTTGTCTTCTGGGATTCCCCTTAGGAGATTCAAAAGGTAACCCTTCCTAAGGGCATTAGAAGCTCGGACAAAAATGCAAAATTCAGAATAATCAAGCACGTCTTCAAATGGAAGTTCAATCTCGTCACTTATTATCACTGGGACACAGTGACTAACAATGGCATCAAAGAGTCGGTTCGAGGATGGAGTGTCTCCGGCTATATTCAGACAGTACTTTGAGGAAGCCATTCCTTGGCTAGCCGATCTCACGCCATTTGATTGAGCACTACCAAACTTGAAGTGCACATCTTTTTCATCTTTGAGCAGGTAATATAAATCTTGGCGAATAGCTCCACCCTGGCAATAATATATCTGTCATTAGCCCCTTAAGTGGGAATTAATGGTAGTTATAGTGGGAATTAATGGTATAAAATCATTTAACACTAAGTTTATGCAAAAACAAAAAACACAAAAAACATAGTTGCAATGTTTACACTGGAATTAAGAACGAATAATGAGGTGAAAATTCTAAATAGGTTATTTCCTCTTAGAAATTATGATGACACAACCGTGACTTGAGATATTTGTTTCTTTTACGTCAATTACAGAATTGGAATTGATATTGCCAGACTAAGAATAGGAAGAAACTTCACATCTCTAGCTTCTGACAGTAGTAACATACTCCCTCCATTCTTGTTTCTCTTTTTAGGTTGAAGACATCACTCATATTTAAGAAAATGTATTGTGATGATAAATTAGTTAAAACCTTTTGTGCTTAGTGGAAAATGCCTTCTTAAACAGCTGTCCTTAATATTTCTCTTGAAAAAAAGGCAAATTAGATAGAATAATAAGGGTAAATTCAAGAAAAAGTAGTTGTGTGCATAGTTTACATAAATGGTCAATAATTCGAGGATGATTAATGGGTCCAGCCTAGGCCCAAAAAACTCTCACTCAGTCAGGGTATGGTTTGGTTGAACCCATCACAGTAAAAATCAGTTCAGGCATAACAATATCTGACTATGAAATATAGCTTTGTTGTAAACACATAAAAAATGTAGATACCACATCAAAAATGTATTCAAGGAAGAAAAGGAGAGCTTAAGAAACTCACATCTTTTCTATATATTTCCCCTTGAAAGAAGACCAAGATAGGACGCTGTTTAAACGAGTGCGAATTACGAGCGTCTATAGTCTTCACCATATGTTTATAAGGAGCAATTACATCCTTCCCAATATTTGCTATCTCAGCGGGATATCTTCCGAAATCCGCAAGAATAAAAATGGCAGAACCCAGCCTCTTCCTAGCAACCAACATGCTATTGGGATGGTGAGCCACAACCAGATGATCCCTCCCACCAAATCGCTTCCACTCATTTCTACTTTTCAAAAACTCAACCAATTTTTGCTGCAGCAGTCTGTCCCTGCTAATCCCACCATTGTCTTGAATCTTGGAATGCCGATTGTAACTCACAGAAGCAAAGAATGGCACAAATACAACATCTGCTTCACTTGAATTTTGCACTCTCACAGCTGTGCATGGCCTAAACACATTGGGGATATTTGAGGATAAGAGGTCAAGCGTGAGCCAATACTCTATACTGTGCTGTAAGTTCAGGCCACCAGGATATCGTGGTATTTTACTTGGATCATCAACACCAGGCCAAATTTCATTCCTACTTCCCTTCCAACCTAACAGCCCAAAGTGAAATTCCAGGGGCAGGTCATACATATAAACTCTAAGATGACCCTGATTCCCCCCTTCACACTTTTGGTTTGGTGTTTTAGTACCCCAGTCGCTACCGGAATAAGGAAACAAAGCCTTCCCAGTTTCTCCACCGGTATTGCTTGAATTCCGATAATCAGAAGTACTATTGTCAGTGAGATTTAAAAGGAGAACCGATCTTGGTATGAATGAATTGGTATCAAAGTGGAGGAGGGAAAAATAGGAGATGATGAAAAGAAAGAAAGATATGGCTATTAGGCATGAAAGAAGCCTTGATGCCTGCATACTCTTTTCTGAAACTGGATACATAGTACGGGTATAAAAAAAACAGATAATTCCTCACATCCATACGGAACTCTGGTAAGGAAAGAAGGAAAGAAGAAAAACCAACATTTCCTCTGCAGAAACTAGCGAGTGTTGATTCAATTCCAAGCACCAATCTTTTGCAAATTTAAAGACCTATAAAATGAACAAAGACAAAAAAAAAGAGGAAGCTTTATTTTCCGCATCATGACACAGCAACAAGGTCAAATGATAACCCTTTTCTACAATGGGTTTGACAAATTTGAGGTGCTTTGCTTTTCAATGTAACACGCAAACCAGACGGCTATCTCCACAGCGCCCCACACCATAAATTACCTTAGAATTTTCGCAAGGGTTTCTGAGAAACCTAATTTTAAGAGAACTTCAATTCCAACCCGTTTTAAGCAGACCTGTGCCCCTTAAGACTGGAATTTATTCCTGCAAAATCAGATTGAAATATAAGCAAGAGAACCAGTGAAAATAAGCTCTTCTAAGCACTGGGTTTATCTAATTTTTTTTTTCAAAATTTGGGCATAATCATGATCCAAAGAAAGGTCAAGGGCAAGACCTGATCTGATAAAATTGGTACATGTTTGCCGCCCTGACGCATTCAAGAAGAGAGATATTAGGCTTTCCGGAAGGTCGGGCACGGCAGAGAAATGGGCCGGTCTGAAACTGAGGTAGTAGAACGGAACCATTGTTCTCTTTGACTCGCGCAATTCTCAGACTGGGGTGCTGTGCTGTTACTTTTTATGTTAGGATTATGCTATGTGTATCCCAAGATTTGTACCCGTTAAACATGGGGCGTCAAAACGTGGTTGTAAAACACAACCACATTTTGATTAAAAACAATTTGCGTGGTTGTAAACACAGGCACACTTAAAAATAATTGCGTGGTTGTGAACACAGCCACATTTGGTAGCTTTACAAACACGTTTGGACACCACATGTTTACCCCATATAAACAACCACATTGTGTAGCATGGTCCTTTCTGTTAATATCTTGATTTACCGAGCATGTACTTCCCCAGTTCTAAAAACTCTTCCTCTATCATTTTTTTATTTCTAACAAAAACACTTCCAGTTTCTATTAAAAAACCATTTTTACCCTTACTTTTTCATACCCTACCTATCATATCATACTTTTTCTCTAATACTCAATCTATCACATCTTACTTTTACCCATCACATCAAGGGCAAAATTGGAAGTCAACTATAATTTAACATTTCCTTATTTTTACACAAAGTCAAAATAGGAACACTTTTATAGAACGGATGGAGTATTAAAGAAATACTCCCTCCGTCCCTAAATAAACTTCCCTTTTTTATTTTTAAGAAATCACCCTACATAGCACTCTAACTCACCCTAAATTACGCATCTAGCACTACTCATTGTTTTTAACAAATTTAGTACTTTTTTGGGGTCAATCCTTTCCTATCATGCCCTTTAACCTTTTCTCTTTTTCTCATTAAAAATTACGGCACTCCCTAGGCCGCACATACTCTTCTTGCACTCGGCTGCACGTTCTTCTTCAGTCGCCCGCCATCATGCGTCCTCAGGCCTTCTCCCACGATTCCTGGGCCGATCAGCAGCGGCAATCATCAGGTTATCTCCGCTTCCTTCATCGATGTGGCTAATCATTTTCACTTCTCCTTCAATTTTTAATTTTCATTCCTTCATCCCTTTATTCGGATTTCCATGTATTTTTAGTTTTAATTATTGTGTTTTATTCGTACTAAAGATTAGGTGATGTGAAATCAATTTTGAAATACCTAATATTTGTTCCTTTTGAAAAATTAGGTCTTTTGAAAGGCATTGTGATTTTGGCAGTGTTAAGATTATGTCTATGGTGTGGGCAATGTAAAGATTAAATGCCTAAATGTTGTCCTGCATTTTTAGTTTTATTTATTTCCTTAATCCTTAATATCTGATGGTGTAAATTACTTGACCGGTCAAACTATACTAGACCGGGTCTAGAATAGTTTGCTTGATTTGGCAAAGTAAGAAAGGTAAAAACACGCAGATTGACCGGTAGGACTTTAGGTGGAACACCTGTAGCCCAATTTATATTACAACGGAGAATGCACGGGTGCTTTTACAAGGGAGTTTAGAGAGAATGAATTCGGATCCCTCTTTCTGAGGTTTACATGAGTATTTATACTAGGCTAAGGGGGACAGGACCACGTGCACCCACGTGGGGGCACGATGCTGATGTGGTGCGAGGTGACTGGTTTCGTCCTTGAGCTGTCTTGTCGCCTTGTGAGGGGGATTATTCCCTTTGTCGAGTAGTGCCTTGGATGGATTCTTCAGCATCTCCAGTTGTCCTCTACTGACATGGGTCGCTACACGCCAAGCCCTCATAGATTCTCTTCTGTCGACACTTTCCAACCCTAGAAACTACACCGGGTAATCTCCGAGGGATGAATTCATCGAAGTCTGAGAATAAATAGGATGACAACGTAGTTTGACCGGTATACTTTTTCGTGAAGTATATCGGTCATCTTTTGGCCGATTATATATCGTTTTGCTGACGATTTAAGTCTCCCTTCCAAAACTTTCGAGATTGACCGGTCAACTAATTGGTCTTCTCCTTTGACCGGTCGTGGGTGGAATACACCCATCAATAAGCCCTCCACTTCTCGGTCATGCAATTTGCCATGAGCGGGAAGTAGAAAGTCTAAAATGGGACCTCAAATTTGAATTTCAGGCTTTTTCCCGCCCAAAAATTTCAAAATTGAATTTGAACTCGGAGCTTTGACACGTGTTGGACACACGTCGTTGCAACGGTCGGCGGCCCACCCGTCGTTTCACCTGCCAGTGGGTCATCATTGCACCGCCTGACGCGGCGCAACCTGGAGAGGCCACGTCGTCTGATTCGGCTTCTTCCCTCCTATATAAAGGCCTCCAACCCCCTTCACTTCTCACTTTTCGCACTTCGCCTTCTAGAGCTTTCACCGGTCAAATTCCTCTCTCTCGCTATCCAGCCCTCCGAGCCAAGTAAGTTTCCCCTCCCTTCTCTACTTTCCCGGTCATGTCTTCTCTTAGCGATAGGATCTCTTCCTCAGAGGACTGCTCCTCTGAGGACTCCAACTCCTCTTCCTCGACCGGGTCTTCTTCTCCTGACTCCATGCCCGGTCAGACTCCTAACTCCCCCATACCTGAGCCGCAGCCTATAAATCAAATGCCCGGTGACGTTTTCATGGGGAGGGACGAGCCGGTTGATGACGAACCGGGTCCCTATGACCCTGAAAACGAAACCTGGGATGCGTGGGAGGAGCGGCTCCATGCCGCCGGTTACTTTCCGCTCCCCACCTTCTATGTCCTCGACATTCCTTCCCATGTATCCAAAATTGCTTTGAACAAAATCCGTAGGAGGCTCCCGGATGGGTATACACTTCTGTATGAACATAACTGGCCCAACATTGTTGAACCCCACCGGGTGGATAGGATAGGGTTCCACACGATTTCCCTAGATGCGGGCATCGTTTTTCCCCTTCGCCCCCTTCTAACTGAAGTAAGCCATGCGTTTAGGATTTTACCCGGCCAGATAACCCCTAACGCCCACCGGTATCTTCATTCCTTTGTAAATATTTGCTCTCACCTGAAAATCGATCCCTCCTTGCGTCTCTTTCTCTTTTGCTTTGAAGTCCTACCAGGCGGATCTGGCTGCAAAGGTTTTGTATTCTTCAAAGCCCGTACCGGTAGGAAGTTCATTTCCGAAGTCCCCCAGAGTAACCGGGGATGGAAGGAAAAGTTTGTTTTCATCGAGTTTCCCCCCTTCGTCACTCCTTTTGCCGGTCTAAAATGGAATGACTATCTTCTCGATCAAGAACACGCTGCACCGGCTTCCTCTCCTGACTTGGAAGCAAGTATTGAAATCCTTATGCGCGGCGATCCATACACCGGGAGGGTCTTCCACTATGGGAGCTGGGTTTGGCGGGTTGAATCGGGTGGTGAGGGTACCTCCCAAGCCCATGAAGCAGTGGGGCGCGGGGTACCCTCCCCGGGCAACACTGCAGAGGCTGAGGGCCAAAACCACCCAGGTATTTCTCACTTTTCTTGTGATTCGTAGGTGACCGGTCGAACTACTTGTACTTAACGGCTTTAGTTTCTTTTGCAGATATGGAGTTCGAAGAGTTCGCCATCCCCGATGACCAACCAGCGGGAGACACCGGGGGCTCCCAAGCCAACCCCGCCAGAACCTTCCCGGTCCACCAAGAGACCGTGGAGATTTTGGATGAGGACGAACCCCAAGACAACCGGTCTAAGGGGAAGGGAAAAGAGAAGACCGGTCGCCGGACCAAGAAGGTGGCCACCAACCATCCCTCTGCCATGAACAAGAGGCAGAGGACAGACTCCGGCACGGCCTACTAGACCGTGGAGGAGGCCTACATCAACCTTGGCCTGCGGCTGAGGGAGGTAAGTCATCTCTCGTCACCGGTTAACCTTTCCCTTACGCTACACGAAGATTAACCGGGTTATTATACGTTGTGCAGGTTGGGGAGATTGCGCCCATCACCGCCGACCGGTTGGGAATGGACTCTCCAACCGAGGTGGCCAGGCTGAAGAAGAAGAACGAAGAGCTGGCCCTCCTCCTCAAGAGCCAAACGGATGAGCTGACCAAGTTGTCCAAGATGGCCGGATCCTTTGGGGCAGAGAACACCCGGCTGAAGGAGGAGAACGGCCGGCTGCTGGACGAGGTCTCCGAGACAAAAAGGGAGATGGCGGAGAAGGAAGAAAACTTCCCCGGGCGCGCAGCCGCCTGGGTTGAGGAAAATAAGGCCGAAGCTGCCCGGGTTCTGACGGCGAGCCCAGAAGCTACCATGGAATCCTTCAGGCTTCTATACCGGGAGCCTGAAGGAAAGAAGATGATTACCGCCGTTGGATCTTTCGGATTCAAGTGCGGTCAAAAGAAAGACCGGGCAGCCTCCCACCGGATCCTCCTGAAGAGAGACCCGGCCTTCACCGCGGCTTCCTACGGCCTGGCTCCCATCCCGGAGGAAGAGCCGACTCCCCATTTTCCCTTTGACTGATCTCCCTGGCTGCGCTCGGTTGAATTATCTTGTAAAACTTTGAACTCATTTCCCCGGGAATGCCCGGTGTAGCTGTAAAAACACTTAACTTTTTTTGTTCTGCTTTAATGCAATGCTTAGTTTCCATACCGGTTTAGCTTCCATATCTGCTTGCTTCTTGATTGATACTTCGTTATTGCTTCTTAGAATACCATTAGAGAAATTCTGACCGGTACATAAATCAGGCCATTTCTCAATTGTTTTCGACCGGTGGAACTTCAAAGTTCTCTTTGATCACTTTATCTAAAGGATTAGCTCGAGTAACTTTGACCGGTCAAACTTCAATTTTAGCTTTCTTGGCTTGTTTTTGAATACGCTAAGTCCCACCCGGTTGAACTAGAGTGAACCAGCTGAACTTTACTTCGGCTTTTTAGATAGCTTCACGAATTCTCCGATAGAGTACTGTTTGACCGGTAAGTTCCACTCCATGGTCTGACCGGTCAACTGCCTTGCCTTGCAGAACTTTCGAAGTTCTGTTGTGCCCATACCCAACCGGGGTATTTTCTTTTTTTTTTTGACCGGTAGGTTGTAGATGGAAACACCTGTAACCTAGTAATTCTTGAAGTATCCTTAACCGGTAAGAATACTGGAGATTTAACCATGTCGAATGGTTTCGAACCCTCTCCAAGGTTCAAATGCACCCTTCTTCCAGGGCCCCCTCTTCCGGGTGATTAAGTCTTTTAATGGCCCTTTGATTTCTACCATCCCAGGAAGGCCTTAGCTCACCCCCCCGTTCAAGTCTTCCCTGAGAAGGGGGAAACAGGATGCGCCACGGTGGACGATCCCCTTCTATTTCTTTTAATGGGCATCTTTTAGTCCCCAATCAATTTGACAGCGCCGGCTGATTCCCCGACACCAGTCAAACTTCATGGGCCCGTGTAAGTACGGTTCGAACCCTCTTCCAGGTCCAGCCCTCTTGCAGGCATACCCTCTTCCGGGCCCCTCTTCCGGGTTTTAATATTTTTTCTATTATACTGAGCAAGACCGGTGTAGTAACCAGCGTGCCAGGTCCGGGCCTGTGTCTCAGTTGGCTTATCCAAGTGGATTCGATCCACCCAGGAAGCCCTCCTAGGATAGGTTCGNCAATTCTGCCGCTACCAAGTAGAGTATTGAACATCACTTTGATTGATAATGTAGTTAGGCCTCGCCTAGTATTACAATCATTTGTAGAACTTGCGAAGATGGTGGGAATTCCAAGTTCTTTCTATCGGTACACCATCTAAAGTTTCTAACCGGTATGTTCCTGGTCGAATGATGGCTCTAACCCTGTATGGGCCTTCCCAGTTTTTTGCCAGCTTTCCTCCATCGCCGGGTCTACTTGCTTCTCTTCTTCGTAGGACTTCATCTCCAACTTGGAAGTACCGCGGCCCAACCTTGTTGTCATGGTACTTCTTCACAACTTGTTGGTATGTACTCATTTTAACCTCCGCGGCCATTCTTCGTTCTTCGACCAAGTTGAGCTCGGCCAAGTGGTCTTCTTCATTTTGTTGGGGTTGATAATTTGATTCCCGGAACGTTGGGAATTCAGCTTCGATGGGCAGCCTTGCTTCACACCCATAGGTTAGGGAGAATGGAGTTTCCCCATGAGCCCTCCTGGGTGTTACTCGGAATGCCCATACGATGTGTGGGAGCTCTTCTAGCCACTTGTTTCCTGCTTCTCCCAGCCGTTTCTTTAGACCATCCACAATCGTTCGGTTGGCGTTTTCGACTTGGCCATTCCCTTGGGGGTACGCTACCGAGGAACGATTGTGCTTGATTCCGAAGCCCTCCAAGTATTCGGTGAACCTCGGATTTCGGAATTGTGGGCCGTTGTCGGTGATGAGGTTCATGGGCGCTCCAAACCTCGTGATGATGTTCTTCCAAATGAATTTCTTGCACTGCTGCGTGGTGATGTTGGCCAATGCCTCGGCCTCGATCCATTTGGTGTAGTAATCGATGGCTACGATTACGAACTTCTTCCCTCCTTGGGCGACTGGGAAGGCTCCAATGATATCAACCCCGAATCTAGCGAATGGGATGACATTCGATACGGGGTGATAGTAGGTCGCCGGTCTACCAGGGTACTTGTAGAACACTTGGCATGTTCTGCATTTCTGTACATACCTTTCACAATCTTGGACAATTGTTGGCCAGTAATACCCCAACAAGATGATGCGTTGGGAAAGCGTACGGGACATTTGATGCGCCGTGCATACGCCTTCGTGTACCTCCGCTATGACTCGCTCAGCCTCCCGGTTGGTTAGACATCTCAGGAGTGGCCGCCCAAATGCCCTTTTATACAGTTTTCCATCAAGAACCTGGAATCGGGGTGCCCTGAGCTTCCCTTTTCTTGCCCGGTCATCTTGTTCTGGCAAGCTCCCATCCATCAAATATTCCATCAGATCATACATCCAATGGTTGTCCGCCCGGACTAGGTTTGACCGGTCAAATTGGCTTGCTGCTGTTATGGCGGCGACCTCCAATTTTTCAATGCTTGCACGGTCAAGGATCTCTACCCGGGCAAGTTTTGAAACATGCTCGGGAGCATACTGCGTCAATTTGGAGAGAAGGTCTGCATCCGCGTTTTCCGCCCGGGGAATTTGGGCGATCTTGAACTCTTCGAAGCCTTTCAACAGGGCAAGTACAAGGTCCCTATATTGTGCCATGCGTTCTTCCCTCGCCTCCATGTTACCGGTCACTTGCGCAACGATCAGGCTAGAGTCAGATTTGATACTGACCCGGCTAATTTTCAGGGCTTGGGCAAGTCTGAGCCCTCTAGTCAAAGCTTCATATTCTGCCTCATTGTTCGTCAGCTTGAAGTTGAAGACGATTGCATGGTAGATCTTGAACCCTTCTGGGGTGGTGAACACGATACCACCCCCGTATCCTCTAGGACCGGATGCCCCATCAACTGCCATCTCCCACCATTGGTCAATGGGCTCGTTGACCGGTAGGTCTGGAGTTAGACCGGTCATTTCTACCAAGAAGTCAGCAAGGGCTTGTCCCTTGATTGCTGACCTTGGCCGGTACTCAATGTTGAATTGAGTTAATATCATCGCCCACTTCACCATCCTCCCGGAGGATGTTGAATTTCGCAACACTGCACCCAGCGGTTGGTCAGTCAAGACTTCTACCGGGTGAGCTTGGAAGTAGGATGTTAACTTTTTTGCGGAGATGAAAAGCGCATAGGCTGTCTTTTCCATCGCCGTATATCTACTCTCAGCCCCGTTTAATGCTTTGCTCACATAGTAAATGGGCTTTTGCGCCCCATCATCTCTTATTAAAACGGAGCTTACAGCATTTGGGGAAATTCCCAGGTACAGATACAGAGTTTCACCCGGTTTGGGTTTAGACAATACAAATGTGTTGGCCTTCTTCAGAACTTTGAAGAAGGGCAGGGATCTCTCAGCTGACCGGGAAAGGAACCGGCTGAGGGCCGCTAGACGACCGGTCAACTTTTGAACATCCCTAACGGAGGTAGGGGCTTGCATTTCAGTGATGGCCCGGATTTTTTCTGGGTTGGGCTCTATTCCTCTCTTGGTCACCATGAATCCCAAGAACTTCCCAGTACGAACCGCGAAGACGCATTTCTTAGGATTCAGTCGGAGGTTGTATTTTGCCATGATATCGAACGTGGCTCGCATATCAGCCGGATGGTTGAGAGATACCTGGCTTTTGATCAGCATGTCGTCGACGTATGCTTCCATGGTCTTTCCCAGTAGTGGCTTGAAGAGTTTGTTCACCATGCGCTGGTAGGTTGCCCCCGAGTTCTTCAAGCCAAACGCCATTACCTGGTAGCAGTAGGTTCCTTCGGGTGTGAGGAATGACGTCTTCTCTTCATCTTCCTTGGCCATGTAGATTTGGTGATATCCCTTGAAGGCATCCATGAAACTTAGGAGTTCGCACCCCGCAGTTTCGTCCACCATTTGATCTGGACTGGGAAGGGGGTATGAATCCATCGGACAAGCCTTGTTCAAGTCCGTATAATCCACACACATTCTCCACGTGTCGCCCTTGGGAGCAAGGACAACGTTGGCCAGCCAATCCGGGTATTTGACTTCCCGGATGTGACCAACACTGAGGAGGTCCTTCACTTCCTTCTTGACGAAGTCTCGCCAGTCACTGGCCAGGTACCGCTTTTTCTGACGTACCGGTCGACTTCCTTCCCTCACGGCCAACCGGTGGCAGATAACAGAGCGATCTATTCCGGGCATATCCGCCACGCTCCATGCGAATATGCCCGCGTATTCTTGGAGGACCCGTGTAATCTGTGCCTTGAGATCCTCGGGGAGATTTGTTCCAATTCTGACCATCCTCGAAGAATCACCCGGGTGAAGTTCGATTTCCACCGTCTCGGCCTCGGGCTCCAATTTCTCCCGGGTCTCTCCCTTTGTGATTTCTTGGGAGATGACATTGACCCCCTTGGTCATCTTCTTGACTGCCCGGGCATAGCACTCCCGGGCGTTCCTCTGGTCGCCCTTCACCTCACCCACACCACCTGGAGTGTGGAACTTCATGCATAGATGAGGCATGGAAATCACCGCCCCGACCCTATTGATGCCGGGCCTTCGAAGAATTGCGTTGTGGACGCATTTGATGTCCACAACTATGAACCTCATCTTCTTCCACACGGTCTTTTCACCTGATCCTAGTTCGGCCGGTAGAACTATGGATCCTTCGGCTTCAATGGTGTCTCCCGTGAAGCCTGAGAGAGGATTTTCAGGGGTTCAAGTTGTGTCCGACACAACTTAAGTTTTTGGAAAGTCTCCAGGTATAAGATGTTGACACTGCTCCCGGTGTCAACAAGTACCCGGGCGACATCCACCCCATTAATGTCCATAGTGATGACCAATGGATCATTGTGATCTTCACCGGTAGGAGGGAGATCCCGGTCGGTAAAGACGATCGGCTCCCTTCTAGTATGTTTACGCCTGGGCGGTTCAGCACTTACCTCTCCAACGTAAATGCTCCATACCCAGTTCTTCCGCTGTGCGGCTGAATCTCCACCCTCGGGTCCGCCGAAGATCATGCCGATGTGCTCTTTTTCGGGAGCAGGTTGCCGCTCCCTTGGCCGGTTATTCCTCCGCCGGTCGTTGTCCCGGTCATCTCCTGGGGCAGTTGGCCTAACCCATTGATGACTCTTCTCCTGGGCTTTCTGCAAGTAATCTTTGCCCAGCTCTCCACTGTCGATCATCTGCCGGATGACCCCCTTAACACTTTTGCATTCGGAGGTGTTATGGGAATCTGACCTGTGGTATGAACAATAGGTGCCCGACCATTGCCGCCCTGTTTGACCGGTAGGGTTTTCTGGAGGAATGACCGGTGCTTTCCGGATTTCTTGGCATTTTCCGTATTGACCACTCGGATGACCGAGTCATAGTGGTGCCTCGGCCGGCTAGGTCCCGGTGCTTCTTCCTTCTTGACTTGAACCGGTTTGGGCTTGTAACCATGCTCGGCTTCCTTTTTCGCCCGGAGTTGAGTTTCAGCCTTAGCAAACTCCCATGCAGTACGGTAGGCCTCTTGGTACGTGGCTGGGGGTTTCCGGCAGAACTCCTTGTATAGTTCCCCGGCACGCAAGCCATTCAAGAGGAGGGATAAGACGGTTTTGTCATCCATCTCTTCCACCTTGTCTACCTCTTCCTTCCACCGGGTAAGGAACTGAGTAAGGTTCTCAGACTCCCTCTGCCCGGCTGTACTAAGATAGGTGAATTTCTTCCTCTTAGTACAATTCTCCTGGAACTTGGCCTTGAACTTTGAGGCCAAATCACTGAATGAATCAATGCTTCCCGGGCGAAGCTTATTGAACCATTCAGTGGCTCGGTTCCGCAAGGTCTGGAAGAAAAGAAGGCACTTTTCTTCATCGGTGCAACCGTTCATGGTCGCACTCTGGTTGAAGGAGTCCAGATGGATTTCCGGATCTTCCTTCCCGGTGAATCTGGGGGCGTCGATCTTGACCTTTCGTGGGAAAGGTGTCAGATGGACCCTTGTGGTGAACGGGGACCCTGCCATTGTGGTGAACGGGAAAGGTGAATGGGAAAGGTGTCAGTTTGTCCCGGTCATTCTTCTCTCCGACCTTTTTTTTCCAGCCTCTCCAGTTTTGCCTCCATCTGCTGGACGCGGTCACTTGGGACGGTCAACTGGTTCGCCACCGGTAACCTGGGCTGGCTCTCTGCTTCCTCTTCCTGACGAGAGGCCCTCGTCCTCGCTGGCTCCTGCCGGTTAGACCGGGAGCGCCGGGTGCGGGCAGGCTCGGCCTCCTGCACCTTGCCTAGCCGGGCGAACGCGTTGACATGGGCAACGCTCTGCCCCAGCCTCTGCTTGGCTGACTTCCTCTGGCCTTCCTCCCTATCCCCCAACCTTTCGAAGGCGGAGTTTCGGGAGGTCGCTGGCCGGATGTTTTTCCCTTTCTTCTTCTTGTGGGCCCTTGGAATGTCCCACTCGCCGTCATCACTCTCAATTGAGACGCAATGACCATCGGGGGTGACTTGCGGATTCGTACCTTGCGGGGGACGCGACGGCCTTGCAGCGTTAAGTGCGCCAGTCAAGTTGACAGGGGCCATGGTGCTGACCAGCTGGGGCTGGAAAGGTGATGGTTGCGGCATCGGCGTCTGGAACGACGTCACCGCCATCGGAGCTTGTAGGGGCATGGTTCCCGCGCCTGGAAGAGCGAACGGGAACATACCAGGGAGAAAAGGCATCCCCCCGCTCTGTTGGCACATGGCCATGAGCTGGCCGAAGCCCTGGATGGCTTGTAGGTTGGCTGGGTCATTCATGAACTAAGTCATGCTTGGTGGGAATGTGACCCTTGGTCCAGCGGAAGGGACGGGGGTCGCGAAGGGACTGATACTGATCACGCTGGCCGTCGGGACAGAGCTCAGACCCAAAGGCAACACCAGGGCTGAAATTACCGGTATGGTAGCAGCCACAGGGATGCTGGTACCCTCATTGGTGGCTTGCACCTGAGCGGAAGTAGCGTTGATCTGTTGGCTGGAAGACATTTCGAGTGGTGTTTTTGTGGGTATGTTTGTGTCTAGAAGAGAAGAAACCTTAACGGTCCCACGGATGGCGCCAAAAATGATGGTGTAAATTATTTGACCGGTCAAACTATACTAGACCGGGTCTAGAATAGTTTGCTTGATTTGGCAAAGTAAGAAAGGTAAAAAACACGCAGATTGACCGGTAGGACTTTAGGTGGAACACCTGTAGCCCAATTTATATTACAACGGAGAATGCACGGGTGCTTTTACAAGGGAGTTTAGAGAGAATGAATTCGGATCCCTCTTTATGAGGTTTACATGAGTATTTATACTAGGCTAAGGGGGACAGGACCACGTGCGCCCACGTGGGGGCACGATGCTGATGTGGTGCGAGGTGACTGGTTTCGTCCTTGAGCTGCCTTGTCGCCTTGTGAGGGGGATTATTCCCTTTGTCGAGTAGTGCCTTAGATGGATTCTTCAGCATCTCCAGTTGTCCTCTACTGACATGGGTCGCTACACGCCAAGCCCTCGTAGATTCTTTTCTGCCGACACTTTCCAACCCTAGAAACTACACCGAGTAATCTCCGAGGGATGAATTCATCGAAGTCTGAGAATAAATAGGATGACAACGTAGTTTGACCGGCATACTTTTTCGTGAAGTATACCGGTCATCTTTTGGCCGATTATATATCGTTTTGCGGACGATTTAAGTCTCCCTTCCAAAACTTTTCAGATTGACCGGTCAACTAATTGGTCTTCTCCTTTGACCGGTCGTGGGTGGAATACACCCATCAATATCTGAATTTGGTTCTTATCCTTAAAAAAACTTTGCATGTCAAAAAATTAAAAAATAAATTTACCTAAAATAATCCCACCTTTCATTTATTTTCCAAAAATATGTATTTTCAAAAAATCCTGTTTAGTGGCCGTTAGTTTTTTAATGGCGGCCCAAAACTTGCAAACATGCAGAAAGGTGAGATTAATATGTATTTGTTTAATATTATAAAGTTTGCAATGTGACTAAAACGCCTATCATGTATATATATATACGATGTGTTTTTGTATTCACCACTTCCATTAAATCCAGCATTTTCATCGCATATTAGGTTATACGTCTATTCTTTGAGTTCATTCCTTTATTTAATTTAATTGAATATTTTCTCTTTTATTATTTAAAAGGAGCATCACAGATGGGTCCAAATTTGACGATATTGCTACGTGTTGATGGGACATGGGATACTCATGGAAGCTTTATATTGTGGCAGTGTATATATTGTGGCATTATATATTTCAGACATTGAATTTTTGGCGGTGCATATATTGTGGCAGTGTATTTCAGACATTGAATTTTTGGAAGTACATATTGTGGCTAACATTATGGCAATGTATATATTGTGGCAGTGTAGATATATTGTGGTAGTGTATATATTATTGTGGCAGTGTATTATATTATATCTATTTTCTTAATCTCTGAGTAGTTTTTCTCTCATTTTACAACACGTTATCAGCATGAATTTGCTCAAAAATCTTAGAATCCTTGTTCTTCTCAGAAGGTATATTTATTTAATTTTCTTCATAAACAAACTAAAATATTTTCTTAAAAACTATGAGAAGTATGCTCTGTGATTGCCCGAATTGTGGCAGTGTAGATATATTGTGGCAGTGTATATATTGTGGCATTGTATTTCAGACATTGAATTTTTAGCAGTGCATATATTGTGGCAGTGTAGATACATTGTGGCAATGTATATATTGTGACAGTGTATATATAATACAAATTTTTTTAATTAAGGGTAATATTGGGAATTCATCTCAAAAACTTATAGCACTGCTATTTTGCGTATTATAAGCCTATTAAAGTGCTATATTCGTATTTCTCCTTTGATTTTTTAAGGATTTAAGGGAGGGATATTTTTGTGTTGACTTTCCAAAAATACCTTTGATGTGATGTGTAAAAGTAAGATGTGATATGTAGATTATTAGTAAAAAGGTATGATGTGATAGGTAGGGTATGAAAAAATAAGAGGTAAAAGGGGTTTTTTAAGGGAAAAGAGAATTTATTTAGGGACAAAGAAAAAATGTAAGGGAAAGTTTATTTAGGGACAGAGGGAATATAGTAACACTCATTTCATTAAATTTATTAGGTCGTGTTTGGTGAGGAGGAGAGATATGGGTTTGCATATAGGAGATATCAATTTTTTTAAAAAAAAATTGTTTGGTGAGAAAAAAAGAAATTAAAATTTGAAATCCTAAGATATTGGAAATCTCCAAATACACGGATACTCCATATCTCTCTCTCACTAATTTTAGAAATTTATTTTTTTCTTGAAGTTTCAATTGTCCGTATATTCAATTATGTGCTTCTCTTCTTTTTTGATTAAAATCCAATAGTCAACTTATTGGAATTGCCGAACCATGATTGAAAAAAAATCTCCTCAATCTTTTTTTATACGGCAATGTTCCTCAATCTTATTTCATCACCTGTGCTATTTTTTTTTTTTTACAATTCTTTTGCTTGATTTTGTTGAACTCAAACATGCTTGCCAATTTTTTTTTTTCAAAAAATTAGAATTGTAATTTGGAGGTAGAGATAGTCCTTCATACTTTTATAACATCATCATCAAATTTAATATTGGTCAAATATTACTGATTCCTAATACTTTACAAATTATTGTCAAATTGCATTTTTATGTATTCATTACCAAAAGTTTACAAATTTTTGTCAAATTGCATTTTTATGTATTCATTACCAAAATATTACTTCGAATTGATTTTTATTGTTTTAATGATTTGAAAAAGTGGACTTCATTCCTAAAGAATTTTGATTAGTTGTCATCCGTATATATTACGGAGTATATTTTTGACCCATAGTCATATTTTTTTGAAACTCACGTTGCTTATTGAATTTATTAAATATTAAATATTTTATTTACATGGAGATGTTTCTTGGTTATGTTAAATCATTTCAAAGTATATGGTTGTTGTGTTTTGAAAAAAAAATGTTGGTGCTTTGTTGGTAGTCTCTAATATTCAATTGTTAATTGTTGATGTGATATTGTTCTAACAGATGGTCTCATCTCTTGAAATATTGATTGTGAGAAAGAGAAAACAAATACAACTGCAAATGCTATTTCTGATCTTGTTATTCACCAATGCAATCATTTTAGTAATTTTTATGTGGTTGACAATGATAATTGTTGCACATGAAAAACAAACTTTGAGGCTACCCTTTAGGAAAAAGAAACATCGAAGATTAAACAATTTGAATGCACTAATAAGAGAAAGTGATAGTGGTTGTAAAAGTGAACTTCGAATGAATAGACATGCTTTCAACTAGGGTGTAAACGAACCGAATCGAAGCGAATACCGATATATTTGAATTTGTATTTGTTTAATTTTTTCGAATACGAATCCAACCCGAATATGAGACGAATTCAAAATAAGATTTGAATAAGTATTTGATTACTATTCGAATAGTTATCGAATCATAAACGAATATTTGAATAATCATACTATGTAATTTATATGATGGACCAACATCAATTTGCAATTTAACTTACGATACTCTTTATACTATACTATATTCCATATATAAAAACATTAATACATCTGCATCTTACACAAATTATATTTTATAAAATATAACTATTAAAAATCATATGCTTTAGATTTTCGTGTTACGTTAATTTATTGAATTCTTAGTATTTTAAATACACTTTATACTATATTACTTTGCTTGACTTTTGATGTTGAAAACATAGTCTGTGTATATATACATATATTCGAATATTCGAATATCATCCGAATCGAATATATCCCTATTTGTATTTGTATTTGATTAATATTCGAATAAAAAATAATATTTGAATTTGAATTTGTATTTGAATAACGCGAATTCGAATCATCATATTCGAATACAAATCGCGAATCGAATTTAAAATATTTGATTTGTTTACATCCCTACTTTCAACGTGCTATGTGAAATGCTTAGATATAAAGGTGGTTTAACTAGCTCTAGGTATATGTCCTTAGAAAAGACTGTTGCTATGTTTTTGTATACATTGGCCTATAAGTTTAAAAATAGGACGATTGGAAAATATTTTTATCGTAGTGGGGAAACTGTTAGTAGAAATTTTCATTTTTGTCTTCATGCAGTTTTGAGCTTGCACCCATACCTGCTAAAAAACCTACACCCATCTCAGAAGGTTGTGAAGATAGTCGATGAAAATATTTTAAGGTAACGTAACAAATGATACATATATTCGTTGACAAAATTTTTAGAAAATATATGTTTTTAACACATTCTTTTGTATTTCATGCTATAGAATTCTTTGGGTGCCTTAGATGATACTTATATTCAGGTGCATGTGTCATCTAAGGATAAACCAAGGTATCGAACTAGGAAGGGAAGTGTTGCCATGAACGTTTTAGGTGCTTGCATGCCTAACATGGAATTCACTTATGTATTACCGGGTTGGGAAGGTTCTGCACATGATGGGCATGTACTTCGAGATGCACTTTCTAGACCCCATGGTTTAAAAGTACCCCAAGGTATAGCTGTTGGAGTTGTGCCCTGATGGCCAACTGTTTATCGTTATTCTATCATGTATAGGCAGATATAATATGTTTACACATCTCATGCTAATGTAAACAAATATTATATTCCTAGATTTATATTTAAAAGATGTTTATCAGATAGTGTTTTTCTGCTGATGAGACTAACATCTTGAAATAAATATTTATCTAAAAGTCCATAGTCGAGTATTAACGAGAGTGGGATATCGTTAATGCATGTGAGACTAGTGTGTGTTGGATGTTTGACTTAGTCTCATAGTCAATGACGGTGTGTTCGCATCCGCACATGGGCAGATATTATCTAGAGATAATAGGATGCCGGACTGACCCATCCTAAAGATGTTGCTTGAACTTTTAGTTCATGCTCTAAGCATCTTTAGCGCGACCACGGGTGTAACTATCCTTCGACTTGAAGTATTACGTTTTCTGCATATGTGAACCCGCATACTTTGATGCATTGTCCTAAGCCATATGAAATAAGGATGGTATACAGGCTTTGTTTTGGGTATGCCGCAGCGC